TTCCAAGTAGCTGAAACTACAGGCACGTGCTACCACACCCGGCTAATTTTTTGATTTACTGTAGAGATGAGGTCTCACCAAGTTGCCCAGGCAGGTCTCAAACCCACGGGCTCAGGCAATCCACTCACCTCAGCCTCCCAAGGCGTGGGATTACAGGCTAAGCCACCGAGCCTGGCTGATAAAATGTGATTTTTAAAATGGCACTTTATTTGCTTGATCTTTCTCCCCCAAACCCAGAAAGCCAATCTTAGCATGATTTCTTTTAAAAATATGACAAATCCCAGCAGAAGGATATTTTATAATATACTTGGCCCAGTATTCCTCAAAACTGAAGGACACCATAAATAAGGAAAGTATGAGAAACTGTCATAGACTAGAGAAGCCTAAAAAGACATGAGAACTAAATGGGATACTGGAACAGAAAAAAGACGTTAGGTAAAAACTAAAGCAATCTGAATAAACTATGGGCTTTAATTAATGTATCAACATTGGCTCACCAATTGCCACAAATGTACCATACTAAATTAAGCTGCTAATAATAGGGAAACTGTGTATGTGATGAGTATAGGAATTTGGAAACTGTACAACAGGCTCAATTTCTCTGTGAATCTAAAATTGATAGCAACCCCACTTATGGGAATATACCTGAAGGAACTCAAATTATTCTACAAAAAAGATACATGTGCACACATGTTTATTGCAGCATTATTCACAATAGCAAAAACATGGAACAAATCGTGCTGCCCATTGAAAGTCGACTAGACAAAAAAAAAAAAGTGGTACAGGTCGGGAGTAGTGGCTCACGCCTATAATTACAGCACTTTGGGAGGCTGAGGTGAGAGGATTTCCTGAGCCCACAGGTTTGAGACCAGCCTGGGCAACTTGGCGAGACCTCATCTCTACAACAAATTAAAAAAAAAATTAGCCAGGTCTGGTGGCATGCACCTGTAGTTCCAGCTACTCAGAAAGCTGAGGCGGAAGAATTGCCTGAGTCCAGCAGGACGAGGTTGCGGTGGCTGTGAGTGTGCCCCTGCATTCCAGCCTGGGCGGATCTGACTCAAAAAAAAAAAAAGTAGTACATATACATGATGGAATATGTATATATAAAGATGAATTTGGAGTCTATCACATTCAGTGATCTATCACAGCAACAAAAAACTGAGTACCACATGTTCTCACTCATAAGTAGATCCTGAACATTTATCATAATATCACCTGAAGGGGATTGGCAATAGCGGGACACTGCCGGGGAGGCAGGAGCAGGGAGGCACATAATGTCAATCATGGTGCCTGATCCCAAAGGTGAGGTGAGAACCAATAGGAGGTCCAAACGTCATCTGTATGATGACCATATATGCACCTAATCCTGAATTGTACCCCACACCTTTAAACTAAGGCAAACAAAAAATCTAAAATTGATCTAAAGAATAAAGTCTATTATTAATTTTTAACCTAAAAAATTAATGAATTTAATAGTTTTTAAAGGGCAAAGGATTTTGATAGACATCCTTGCAATGATTTATAGATGGCCAAGAAGCACATAAAAAGACACTCAACATCATTAGTCATTAGAGAAATGCAAATAGAAACCACAATGAGACACCACTTCATATCTATTAGGATGGCTAGACTGAAAAGAAAAAAAGAAAATAACAGTATTGGAGAGGATGTACAGAAACTGAAACCCTCCTGTCTATGTTGCTGCTGGGAATTCAAAATGGTACAGCCACTTTGGAAGACAGTTTGACAATTCCACAAAATGCTAAATGTAATATATATATGTTACCATATAACATATTAATTCCATCTAAGGGTACTGAAAACTTATGTCCACATAAAAACTTGTACATGAATGTTGACAACAGAATCATGCGTAAGAGTCAAAAAAGAAACAACCCAAATATCCATCAACTAATAAAGGAATAAAATGGAATATTATTCAGCCATAAAAATGAATGAAATACTAATATATGCTACAACACAGATAAAATCTTTATGCCAAGTGAAAGAAGCCAATCACAAAAGACAACATACTATAAGGTCCCATTTATGCAAAATGTCCACTATAGGCAACCTATAAAGACAAAAGTGAATCAGTGGTTAGAAGAGGATAAGGAGAGGGTGATCAGAGAGGACAGGGAGAGGGAAGAGGATAGGGAGAGTCTCGACCTGCTGGGCTCAGGTAATCCTTCTGCCTCACCCTTCCAAGTAGCTGGAACCACAGGCAAGCGCCATCATACCTGGCTAATTTTTCTTGATTTACTGTAGAGATGAGGTCTTATCAAGTTGCCCAGGCTGGTCTCAAACTCATAGGCTCAGGCAATCCTCCCGCCCTGGCCTCCCAAAGTGCTGAGATTATAGGTGTGAACCACTGTGCCCAACCTAGGATGAATCATAAGTGTACTCTGCTAGATGAAAAAGGCCAGACTCACTGGCTACTCCTGTATTATTATATTCATATGACATTCTGGAAAAGGTAAAACTATAGGGACAGAAAGAAACAGATAAGTGGTTGCTAGGGGATGTGACTGGCAAGAGGGACTGAGTACATAAGGAGAGAAATTGCTGAGGCAATGGAAATGTTCCATGTCTTGGCTGTGGTGGCAATTTGTGTCAAATTTCACAGAACTGTACACACATAAAAGGGTGATTTCTACCATGTGTAAATTATACCTCAATTAAAAAAAGAAAAAGAAAAAATTCACTTCTTCCAAATGTCTTCTTTGATATACTTCTTCCTTGTTGTGTATCAAATGAATATAGTACTAGATGATTTTCTAACTTTTCACTCCCCAAAATATAACTAAAATATGATAATGACAAAGGGGTGTAGTGTGCACTGGGGGGTAATCCCAGCTACTAAGGGGACTGAGGTGGGAGGATTGTTTGAGCCCAGGAGTTCAAAGTTATAGTGAGTTATGAGTGCATTACTGCACTCTAGCCATTCTAGCTTGGATGACAGAGGCAGACCCTGACACTTAAAAAAGAAAAAAGCCACACCTGTAATCTCAGCACTTTGGGAGCCTGAGGCGAGAGGATTGCTTGAGCCCAGGGTTCGAGACCAGCCTGGGCAACTTGGCGAGAGATCTCATCGCCACAATTAAAAAAAAAATTAGTAGGGCATTGTGGTATGTGCCTGTGGTTCCAACTACTTGGAAAGCTGAGGTGGAAGGATCATCTGAACCCAGCAGTTTGAGGCTGCGGAGGCTGTGAGCGTGCCACTGCACTCCAGTCTGGGTGACAGAGTGAGACCTCTACTCCAAAAAAAAAAATTTAGAAAGAAAAGAGAGAGAATAATGACATAAATTGGGAGTAAAATGTTTACAAAGACAAGAAATATTCATTTCAAATTATGTATATAAAAAATTCATAAACTCTAAGAATATAGAATAATATAAATTATGAGGGCTTTATGCATAGGTTCATTCCACCTACTTATGATGATTAATTTGTTTGCATAACAGATATAGAGGCTTATAAAAGATTTTTTTTCAAATTTATTCTAAATTATTTAAACGATCTGGACAAAAACTATATAGGTAGGCTTTCCCTCTTTGACTACTTTCACCTCTTCCTCAAAATGTGTTTCCTTGATGCTCTACCAATTTCTGGTTATCCTCCTACATGAGCTAGCATGGAAATCACTACTATGGAATTGAAGTCCCACATAAGTAGTAGGCACTAATATTGGGATTGTTCCTGGTACCATTCCACCTTTCTTACTTACAAATAAGCTTCCCAAACAAGTCCAACTATAGGGAGCTCTTTGAAAAACAACAACAAACAAAATTTGATAATATAAGTTTTATAAAATATTAAACAGAAAGTTATGATGAAATAGCCACATTAAAAGTCAGAATAGTTGGGCATGGTGGCTCATGTCTGTAATCCCAGCACTTTGGGAGGTGGAGGCGAGAGGACTGCCTAAGCTCACAGGTTTGAGACCAGCCTGGGTAACATGGCAAGACCTCATCTCTACAAAAAATCAAAAAATTAGCTGGACATGGTGGCACACATTTGTAGTTCCAGTCACTTGGAAGGCTGAAGTGGAAGGATCACCTGAGCCCAGTAGGTCGAGGCTGCTTGGCTGTGAGCATGCCACTGCACTCCATCCAGCCTAGATGACAGAGTGAGATTCTGACTCAAAAAAAAAAAGTCAGAGTAGTTGAGTGCAGTGGCCCATGCCTGTAATCCTAGCACTTTGGGAGGCGGAGATAACAGGAATGTCTGGCCCACAGGTTTGAGATCAGCTTGGGCAACTTGGCGAGACCTCATCTCTACAATAAAATTTAAAAAAAATTAGCCAGGCATTGTGGCATGCACCTGTGGTTCCAGCTACTTAGAAGGCTGAGGCAGAAGGAACACCCGAGCCCAGCAGGTCGAGGCTGTGGTGGCCCTAA